AGAAGAAGCTCCGCCCCTCAACTCTTAACCCCGCCCACTTAATAAACAGTTCATATAGAAAAATAGCGATCCGTTAAAATCGCTATTTTTCTATATGAATTGTTTATTAAGTGGGCGGGGTTTAGGGTTGAGGACTATCTACCCCTTCGCTGTTCAGATACTTTTCCAGCTTTCCACTTAAAATGCTTACCATTGCTCATTGGACGTGGTATTGCAGCTTGAGGTGCCATTGGAGCCTGGGTTGGCGACATCAACGGTGGAGATCTCATATCGTTCGAGTAAAGGGGAGATGCGGTGGGCTGAGTAAATCGCGACCCTAAAATTAAAAAATCATACATTAGAATGATTCTACGTTCTTACCTCTAGACGGAGTAAGAGAAAATCAGACTCCCAAAAAAACTATTCAGCGATGCCACTACTCGCTAAATGCTAACCGAGCTCTATACTCGACATGATTGATAGCATAAACGGGGAAGGCAATTGTTCAAAGAGGCAATTTCATAGGAGGGAAGAAACCATTGGAAGACAGTAAAGCAGGCAATACTAGCGAAGGGGCCACACACTTCAAAATGAATGGGCCATAGAATCCATGAGCTGCTTACAAAATAACTCCGATGACGGCTGTGAGGAAAGAGGAAGACGGCTGCATCTGACAATAACAAATTACTCGCAAGACCTCATTTCACCTAGGCACGTCAGTTTCGATAGCCTAGGCGGTGCCGAATAATATAAGGAGATATATTACTGAGAGAAAAGGAGTATTCAGAGACAATCAAAAAGAATCAAAAGCAGTCGACTGCTTCATTGACTAACCGTTGGGTGTATATGGCGGTTGCGGTGTTTGTGGCGTATGAGGCTGCGGTGCGACTGCCGTGGAATAAACTGAAATTAGCAAAAAAATTTGAAAAAATTAGTATGCCAAATTCTCAATATACTAATTATTTTTATTCTTCTAACAATGACCATAGTCAAGGCCAGTGATTTAAGTATCGTTGACCACAGTCCTCTCCCACCTGGCTAGGAAACTGAATGCTTACCCACTGGGCACTGCATCTAAAACTTTTTTTTCATAAGCAATTCCAAGTTTACAAAGAACAGAGAGAGAGAACAAGGGATCAATTTTTCGTATCACTTTCTAAAGTTGATCATTTTGATAGATAAACAAATAAACAAGATGAATTTAATAGCTTTAATAGTTCCTACGTTAAATCAAATTTGAAACACCTGAGTTGAAATGGCTCCTATACAGAAGCAAGGCCCATTTTCATCACATCTCCTGCCATATTAACAATTCCCACTAAGGCCTAATCATAACAAAGCTTTTCAGTGATATAAAAGAGAGGAAAAAGTGGAAAAGCTTCGTGAATAATATGCTTTCATTAATGTCTTTGATTACAGATCGCTCGGATGAGCTTATTAACTCTATGCAGTGCTAGTCAAGCATTAACACTAGGCAACCTCATTGCCATAGTAATACTTTTTCCTTCAGAACAGGACAAGAACACCACAATGTAATCGAAATTCTATCTAAATATTGAAGTATTTGCTTCATACTCTATGAGACTATAAAAACGAAATTTGTGCTCGAAACTCGCTTTCTTAAATCACCCCCATCGCAAACTTCCCAGATGCGACCGCTTGATATCAAACATGTCACCCTCCACTATTGCCAGATAGAAAAAATAAGAAAGCTCCAAATAAACCCGTGATATGGCGAAAAAAGTTCTGCATCGAGTGGTCGCAACGGTAAGCATAACAGAACGAGATGGCCAAAAAGACATAAGTAGCCCATGCTCCAATTCTAGAGTTGATCGGGTTTTTATGAGTTAAGAGTGTTTCCTAATGTAATTCCAAAATCATAGACTGGGAGGAAAATGGCGAGGTTTTGAAAGTGGAGCTTGGACAGAAGCAACTTTTGAGGAAAAAAAAGCCGTAAATGAATAGTTTTGTATTATATAGCTATATAATCTCAGTTATATAACCGTTTCTCTTTCAGCTCTGACTCAAGGAAGCCACTACCTAGGAAGGTTTCTATTGCAGATTAAAGCTCGTCATCATCAGGGACCACTCTTCTGTAAAGCTTGACTCCTAGCATACATATATCAAAATAAAGTCAACTTTCTTTTTATAATGAACTCTAACTCTGGATTGAATCGTTAACTAGAGGTTATATAGAGGTTCTTCCAATTACCTAATTTCCTTACTTCACTCAAATATAGCGCTACACCATGAATCAAAACCGCTTTTCACATGAAGTTGTAAGAGCAATTTTCTTTGACGTTACGAGTTGAAGAATGTCGAAGCCCAGACTAGCAGGGATCAAGGAAAGCCGCTACGGCACGAGTGGAAGGGACCCTCATAATCCATTAATTATCACGGCATGGCGTTCCACGCTCTATAAACAGCCAAAGGAACACCAATAGATTGAGGGCTTCGACTTCTGGCACAACACAAACCTTTCCAGAATGCTCTTCGATGTTGGCTCATATCTTTCGGGGGGAAAAGATGTCACCTAACATTTTCGCCAAGCAGGCCTTCTAACACATGAAATATAAATCTCTACATATTAATGCCCCTTTCCCATTCTTCGCTTAGTGTAAAGGAACTAATTAAAAAGAAGAAAGGTAACACTAAGGAAGTAGCACAGAAAAGTCGCCCAGACATTTAAAATTATTCCAGTTTCTCAAGACAAAATAAAGGCCGGAAGAACTATTCCGTCGGCGTTTTTTAGACATATTAAGCTCAAAAAAAGCAATAATGCGGAAGCATTTGGTAATATCGTTAGAAGCAATGGTAGCGTACGAGATCCAAATAATATCAGCTCAGTTTATGAGTGAAACTGGGCTCTGGAGAGTTCTTCAAATTCGAATCTTTGCAAAAAACAATGGCTAAGCATCACAATGTCAGTGCTTCGTGGCTACTCTGCCATATTCCGAAATCTGGAGGAACAAGAGGCTTGGGAATTGAGTGTTGCCATGATAGGAACAACGTCAGATTTCTTTCTCAAAACTTCAGTATTGGCAATCGAATTACAAAAACATTTCAAGTTAGAACATTCTCCGGAAGTTTTTAAGAAGCTCTAGGAGTATGCCGTGAAGCTTCGAAAAAAGAACGAGAAGCTGCGAATCCGATGTAGAACTAAGGATAAGACTGGTACTGTGAACGATAGTTGGGGCCATACAATTCTGGAAACCTTCTGAAGACATGACAGCGTGCAGATTTCAGGGAGTTTACCCAGAGGAGAATACTATAACCAAACTTACTTTTTCAGGAACCTTTTTTCTCCGCAGGAATACACCCGAACACCCAAAATCTTTAAGGGTCAAATTACACTAACTGATTCCAAAAGACCAATCAGTGTCCTGATCACATAGAAGCATCCGCGGCTTTTCTAACATTGCCACTCAGCATTTCGAGATCAAAAAACTTTAGCACCAACAATACGAATCATTCTAATGAAAAAAACAGACCACATACCCAATGTGACCATGAGCTGGATAGCAGCTTGCGTACACACAGGCGGAAGATGGAAATTAGTGTGCTAATGAGGCAATCCGCTGCGGCGGTTGCTGGTCGAGCGCAAGAGCAGCTGCCATTGCCGCTATGACGACTGCGCGTGACAATGGCTACTGATCCTAGTCTGGCAGACTATTATGCACCTTCTTCGGAAAATATCATTCTCATAAACCCCCAGCTTCTACTGAATGAAGATTTCTGGTGTAGGCATTCTTTCAGACAAAGTCGAGGATAGGCAAGTAGATAGGGAAACAAGTGGATTTCTATACTGGCGCTCTAGAATTCATTTTGAATTACCACAAGCATAATCAGATAGCACCAGTGCGGGTTCAAGTCCCATCCGAGGCCGAAGTTTCGTCCATAAGTCGCCAAACGTGTGAAAGAATAATTATTATTAAATCAACTTTTTATAACATTAATATCGATATTTATCATTGATATTAGTGTTATCTTCACTTATTAATTACTAATGATAATTCTAAAAAACAACATTTTCGTTACGTATTATTAATTCTCTCTTCTTATCAGCACTATTTATTATAATTAATTCAATACCTTTACTATATCATCCACACAATATACTGAACGATATCATTCATTCATATTTCTTTCCCTTCTGTGTCGTATAATTACTAAACGATATCATTCATTATTATTCCTTATTGTCGTTATTATCTATATTGGTGACTAGATTTATTGTTTCGCAACAATGAAAAAATTCAGCTACTTTAGTTTATACTGTCGTTGAAAAGCAGAAGTTTTCATAGCTCTGTAGAGGCGCTGAACCGTTGTTGATAGCAAAATATGATTTTCTGATTGTAAGATACCAGTGACCACTGCCTAGTCAACTTCGAGTCGGTCACAGATTGTCACTAGACATTCTAGGCCTTGACTGACATCTGTCTCGATAGATGCGTCACGCATATTCAAGAATAAGTGGAAGGAAGCATAAATTTCACGCCAACCCTATGATAGCCCTAAAAATGGGCCACTTTTACTGGCACATTGTAAGGCACTCGAAAAGAAGTTACATATAACGTGTACAATCAACCCAAAGTCATTCACTGGCGGGAAAACAATGACGACAGCTTATTTTTAGTGAAGTTGTGGGGTCATTACCTTATCATGTCGAGCTGATAAAAAGGGTTAAATAAACAAAAGCTATTCTGTGAAAACACGCGCATCAACAGCTGCCATGAAAAAAGCAGCCCTGATAAGACTGATCAGCAAACTTGTAAAACTACAATGATTTGATATTTCAATGATATTCTAAACAATAAGGCAGAGCTGACCCCATGCGTAGTGCATGTGGAGCCCCTCCCAATATGCAGAATGCTCCGCCCCAATGTAACTTTTCAGTAGTCACTATAATGCACTCACCATTCAATCCCACACCATGCACCATATTATTCAGTTTTTCTGGACTTGGTATCTTAATCATTTCGTCTTCATCCAGAATTTGTTGCCGTGCGGATAATTTTCGTGTGGGATTACGAAAGGCAATACGGCGAAGTCGAGGGCTGACATGTTGCGCCTCAGCAATGGATTCCGTTGAATTGAGGTCAATGTCGGGAATGGATGGCGAGTCCTGCAGGTAGTGGAGTTGGGAGGCACTGGAGATTGGCATCAGGTCGTCGTGTTGTGCTTCTACCACCTCGTAAGTGATCAGTGCTCGTGGTGGCGGTCGAAATGCAGCTGTTGTTCCACCACCGCCTATGTCACTATCCATATACATCTGACGTGGATAGGGGGAGTACATCTGAAGCGCAGATTGATAATGCTACCGTATTCCGCGTTCAATAATAATGAGACGCTCATTTGGTGGCGATTCACAAGCTAACAGGATAACGAAAGCCAAAAACGAAGATTTGAACAAAAAAAATCCAGATCAAAGAAATCGTTAAGGCAGGGTGATTAGTAGAAAGCCTACATGTTCTAATGCTAACTTCGATAATAAAATACAGAAATTCACAAGAGGTGAAGTAAAGAGTTTGAGTCCTCGATACCATCACTGAATGGAGCCAAGTAAATCGGTCACGGGTGAAATTATCAGAGCTTCAAGCTAATTCAAAAAAAAAGTTGTTCCAGATCTTGTAGACCCTTCCACAAAATCCTAGCCATGCTTCTCGACAGTTTATGCCCCAAAAGAGTGAAAAAATTGTTCCTGATGCCCAGCGGAAATTGCACAATTTTAGGTGCAGCCCCTATTAATAGCAAAGGTCTGAACGCGAACCAACCACAGCGAACCAAAAAAAGTATCCAAAAGTTTGAAATTCAGATCATTTCTAGAAGATTAAATAAAACACGGAAAGGCTGGATAGTATCCGAATAGAAGCCAGTTGTTCCGAAAGTCACTTTATCAAAAAAAAGCACAGGCCCCAATCGAATCGACTGCACTGCACGTAAGGGATCTGGAAGCAGTACTACCTACTGTGTCGCTTCTGCAGACCAGACATCTGTGAACTTTAGGAGACCGTCCTACTAAATTCGGCTAAAAAACCAAATCTGCCAGTTTACCCGGCTAGGGTCACTAGTTCCTGTGATAAATCACTTTCAAACCGCAGACCAGGGCAACATGAAAACCTCCCAACGATAAAATAACAGCCATTACAGTATCGTCCCACTAATGAAAGCACCGAGCGAACGCATCAAAGCGTGATGGGAATCAGTGAAATACAACAACTAATGAATCCGATTCAACACAACACAGCTATAGCTATGAAGGGCGAGAGCCGGAGGCAGTGGAACATGAAGCAGAAGACCATTCAAGCACGGCTTTATATTAACGTTCTAAATGGGCTCCATGCCGCTCTGCCACGTGGGACGAGCCGAAGCAATTTCCGCCTGTCATGGGAATCGCCCATCAAGTCAGCCAGATTCAAACATTCCTAAGCTCACCTCCTTATAACTTACGGTAATAACTGAACTAAATGGTCACTTAAGCAGCACCAACTCCTCTAAGAAGTCGGAGTGAGACAGCTCGCTACTTCAAGCCAAACACCAGAGGGCGCCCGGGAACTTATAGGGATACCAACTGGAAAGCCTCACGTTTCCCATCAAAAATCCAGTGATTCACGACGATCTATCCAGTTCTCCCTTTGTTAGCCGTTTCAATAACTGCTCAATAATTTTATATATCGAATGTAGCCTAACAATTTCCCTCAGAGAATCACCTGCTTTGCTGCATGAATGAATATAAAAATACTTTCTAAATAAAGCATCACAAATTACCAGCAAAAATTATCACATATGAAATAATAGGATTGCGTACGAAGGATTCCCAGAACAATTCTCATTATTGCCATTATTAACATCAGAACCGAAATGGAAATTCCTGAAAACAATTTCCACGCAGAAACGAGGTTTTCTACGTAGAGCATTCGAAGAAATGAGATGGATTATGGTTTGTGAGAAATTCTCACTTATTTAAGACACACATCGGATTCCGAAAACCGTTTCGGCTATCTTTTCTCTTCCTTCGAAAACCAAAAAAAAAACCCAACCAAACGACAGAACGGATTTAACCAGACGAAAGAAATTCGTTAAAAGTTTCACATTTTCGGAATCGTGGATATCCGAAAACTTTAAGGAAAAAGCACAAAATTTTCAGCACAAAAACAAAACCGAAATCATTTTTGTCTTAACATCACCGTAGTTCCAGAATAGATTTATGGATTAACGCTAACAGTTATATTTGAATTTGTAATAATTGTAGTCGAAATCCAACAAAAATCATCGAACGACATCATACAATTCTCTCTATTGAATTCACTGACGGCTGTTTTGGATTACAATGTCATTCAAAGCCGTCAGCCATGACAAAACCCATGCACAATTAATCACTACCTCACCCAGCTTGTCAAACCGACAAACATCTGGAAAAAGCCTGAATGAAAGTTAGTTATTCGGGCTTCAACACTGGTCATGCTGCGTCTCTCAGCCTATCCGGTTCTAGCAAGGGGACATCAGTCAATGTAAAGTAAAGTGCATGGCGCTTCCCAATGCTTAGGTCTAGAATTGAATTTCAACAAAAGTGAAATCCGAGATTTTGATACAAGCAGCAGACCACCAGTAGTAAGCAGCTGGCTGACCAGTCAGAAAAGAGCATCCAAGCAAGAAACCAGGGATCGGAGCTTCCCTACTACTTCACCACAGAATTTTGAGGAATTTTCCAGAATTAGAGCAAGTATTAATGAATCGGAGTCATAGAAAACCGCTGCACATCAATTGAGAGAAGGGTCGTGGTACTTTCCTTTTTTTTTGACAAATCCCATAATCTTCAAAACGAAAAGACGAGGTAAGTCTGACTTCAAATTCCTCAGCATCTTTAGATTCCTTTAGCTAAACGGCCGTGAACGACGATCAGTGATAAGTTGGACGATCATAACGAATGACTTCGGAAAAAGAACCACAAAGAAATAGAAAGATAGCCTGAATTACTGGCTGAAGCCATAAAGAAGGGGGGAACAGCCTTTCAGACTGCAAAGCGGCTTCAGACGGCTCAATTCAAGGCAACGACGAAGCAAAGCAATTAATGTTGCACTCGAAATGAAGCCACCAATGAATTCTTTAATCTGTAATGAGAAGCCTATCGTTTCAAAACTAGTGCAGAGTCCCGAGGACATTGCCCTCCTCCTTCTCGTAATGAATTCAGTGAAAGAATTAACTAATTAAACGAAACTCCAAAAAAACTAAAAAGATGGTGTTATTCTCATGAACCACTGCAATTATTCCACTGAATCCACTTATATTGTGAATTATAAGGACCCTGAGGACAGATCATGTGCAATACGGAGCGAAATAGGTAAAAAGTACAGTACTATTGCACGAATATGTCCTGGGTCATATAACTGTACTTTTAGTGGAAAATGCTAGCCACTTCCCTCCAAGTTAGCCTCTTACTTAAACTTACAAGGATCCTGTTCTATTTAGCAACACAGTATCTCAACCACTGAACTACCTTCATCTGACTAGATATCGAAGTAAGAAAGATCGAGAAATTACTAGCGAACTTCTAGAGAGTCATTGGAAATTCTATTAGCAGCTGTTAGTAGAGGGTCATCACAGCCCGCAACATCTCGAAGGCATGGCTCCAATGGAAAAGAATACTCGCTTGTAGAACTATGATAAAATTTGGCAAATGGAAATGTCAATAAGAACGGCTAATTCATCAGAGGAACGAGAATGACAGCCACATTCCTATTATTGGAAAGCGAAAAACCACTAAAGTAAATCCGCCCGTACATCCTACAGCAGCGCTATATGCCTACGATGTCGACGTCCAAAAAGCTGCTCATCCACATTCCATCTTCCTATGCAGGAAAGCTCCCATGAGAAGAGTGTGGCATGAGAGACATACTATTTACTTTGTGGGGGAACAAATGGACCTCTGCAAGATTTGACCTATGCATGGTCCATGTTTGGTGGGATTTCAAACTCATGAGCAGGGTAAGGGAAGCTGAGCGAGAACACCTTAGGGGAGCGACACTTCCCATGACTAGTCCCACAGCTCCACCTACAAATGTACTTAGCTTAACTCACAATGAGCAGCCTTGAAACACACTTGGGTAATGCAAAGGGATTAAACGCAGACGACATTTCACATTTTCTCCACAAAAAGTTCAGAAATACGTCAGGGCGTGCCAGGACTTTTGTTATTTGTAAGTAACGCTGTCATTTTCGCACTCCATAATCCCACGAACGCACTCCCATAATCCCACATGGAGCACAACAAAATAAATTGATTAAACGCCCTAGTGAAGCTTAACCATTACAGCCTAAGTGGGGAGAAGAAGCAAAAAGAAGTGATTGGAAAGGTGGTAGAGAAGCAGACCGAAAGAAGAAGGAAAGGAAAAGGGGAAAGGAGAAGGGGAAAGGGCAACAGATGAGAATCTCCCAGCGGAGACAAGGACAGGGACTGATATTTACAATGATCACGATAAAGGCAAATAAAATAGGAACGTTGCCAGTTTTTCGACGAATCTATTCCAGGCCCTTGCGGCTTTCTTTCGCAAACAGGTATTTGATGGTAAACCGAACCTGGGTAATTATTTACAGAAACCGAACAATACCTCCGCAAATATTTTCATTCAGTCAATGACAACTGTCTCAGAAGAACTTCAGTAAATAGAAAACCATGGATTAACACTTCCATCCACTTTCCCTTGTTTAACTACAACAGTAGCATCTTTTATCAACTCCCATCCCTCAGAAATTCCCAATCGAAAATACTCGAATGACCAAAAGCAAGGTAAAGTGACCGTGCGCCGCCCAACAGTAGGCCTATTCGTGGATACCGCAGCATATCGACAGACTGCGTAGGAATGAAATGTCAATTTCTCTGAGAATAAGACATTTACTTGTTATTTCACCTTTATTATGACGTTTACTAATGCATTCCTCGAAAAGAGAGAGAGAACGAAATTCTTACGCTGCCGACACTTCACAGCTAGGCCATTCGATAATTACCTGGCTTGTTTTGCCATGGCTCTGTCCACCAGGTGATTAAGGTAATTGTAACCGTGCGTTTCAAGAAGGGCTTTGAAGGTTTTTTTTTTGTAATGGAACAGTATTACATCCTATTTTAAACGAAACTACAAAGGCCGACCACAAGTACCCCTGAAGCACATTAATGACAGCAGCCCGACTCAATTTGTAGATAAAAAAAGACAATAAAAAAGGAAA